CCTGCCTACTTTTTTTCCACTCTGATGAGGTGGGTTATAGCCCACGAAAGCTTATGCCCAAATAAATCTGTTAGTCTTTAAGGTGCCACCAGACTCCTTGTTGTTTTTGTAGATACAGACTAACACGGCTACCCCCTGATACTTCACGCCTTCTTGTCAACTGTTGGGAATGAGCCACATCTACCATGACTGAATTGGCCTCATTAGCACTGACCCCCCACTTGGTAAGGCAACTCCCTTCTTTTCATGTGCTGTATATTTATACCTGCCTACTTTTTTCCCACTCTGATGAAGTGGGTTATAGCCCACAAAAGTTTATGCCCAAATAAATTTGTTAGTCTCTAAGGTGCCACAAGGACTCCAGGATATTAATATTCAACAGATCAAGACTTTTAAAATGATACCTCATACAAGCCATACTTTGTACAAAACATCTCAATTATATGACAGGGATGAATATGTGGGTTCCAGGGTGCTTACATTGAGGTACAATGTGTCACAGTGCATTTGAGTCCAGTTCACCCCAAGGAATCACACTGCAGGAGGCCCTGCTATCCAGCTGAAATCACACCATAGTTGCAGGCACAGAGACTGGTGTTGTCCCGGTTGTTTCCTGTCCGGACAGCCTAAACCGGATATGTTCTCGGACACAAGTAGAGACTCATGATGATGAGCCACCACTGTCTGGTGTGCCTTTTCTTGCTGAATCTTTTTGAGAGCTGGTTCTGCTCTTGTACACTCTGCTAAAATGGTTTAATTTGCCACATTCCTGGCAATGTGGTCATAGTGTGGGGTACTTCTCCTTTAGCTGCTCCTGCTGTCTCCCACAGTAAATGCATCTCACTTTGGATATGGAACCCTGGCCACCTGCTCTCCTCTGCTGTTGTCTCCCTCCATGTATTCCTGGGGGTGTTGTATCACCTAGGGCTTTCATGTCTAAGCATTTGTCTAATGTGACAACACCTTCTCAGAGCAGCCACACCTGAGCGTAGTGATCCCAAGTGCCACAGACTATCCTGTCCTGAATTGGGAAGTCTGTCAAGTCCCCAAAATTGCATGTAGCAGCCAGTGTATGTAAGGCAGTAACATAAGGGGTCTTTCCCCTCCCCTTCAGATTGGTCTCTAATGAAAAGCCTGTGTCACTCCACAGTTTCATTCTGCTTTGGGGAGCAATACGTCCCCAGGGCTCCTAGGACTGTACTACTGTGAGGCTTGAGGCTGGGGTGAGTTTCAGAGTGCTGCAGACTTCTCTGCCTTGTTCCCCAGTGAGGTCAAATAATTTTATGTTCCTGCTGTGTCATCCTGCATGGCCAGGCCTGTGAATAGCTCAAACTCCTCCTTCCATGGGATCCATCTCTGGGCTAGGTTTGTGTCTGCAAAATCCAGGGCTCCGGGGGACTTCATATAGAGTTCCCTTGGCTCCCACTGACAGGTGCTGCACTGCAAACTAAACACTGCCACCATGTTTGTGTGAGCCTGAATGCAGGATAAGCTGAACAAGTGGCACTTTATCAAACCCTGACCACTGTCCTGTCTAGGTGGCTGAGTTGCTTCCAGACATTCCCAGTTTCCACTGGTGTCCTGTCAATAACAGTCCCTCCAGAAAGCATGGGGCTTCTGGCTCTAATTCTACTGATCACGATACACCACCCAGAGCTTCCCACACTCCAGGGGTAGCACCTGACCCTCTCACTGGCCGGGCCTCCCATGCAGCAGAGGTAAGACTTCACTGGCTTTACCAACTTGAAATGTTGGGAGGTATGTTATTGGGTCAGAATGTTGTAGTCAGCTTTAAGCCTTTGATGAGAAAGCCTCCATCAGCAAAGCCCAGGAGCTGTAGACACTAGAACTACCACTGCAGCTGCCTGAATGATGAGGCGATAGAGGAAGAAGTTGTTCCAGTGGAAGATGATAATTTGCTAGAGGTTTTTACATCCCACACATGGATGGTAGATTTAAGAAATAGGAACCTTTCCGTCTCATCTGCCTTTATGTCCTCTTTTTTCCCCTCCACATTTGGTCAAGGACTTGGGGCTACCTTATTGCTCATACCCCATCCTGATGCCTGAATTAGATTTTTAGATGCAAAACTTCTCTACTGATACAGGGTGCTGTTTCTGGCAAGAAAGATATTGTCATGTTCTCCCTTTATCTGTTCCCTTTTGTTTTCCTCCTGCTTTCTTCTGTCTCTCCCCTCCTCTCTTTCCCTTCTCTTCTGTAAGGGCGCCTCGACCAATTTTTCACATGGTACCCACAACTGAACCACTTTCACTTTGACTTAGCATGGTGTCTACACATACACTTAGTGGCAAAACAGGCAATTAAAAAACTAAAAGGAAGATAATAAAAACACAAGTTGTAAGTTAATGTCAACAATCATGAAAATGTATTATAAATTTTAATGCTAGAGACTAACAACATTCAAATACAAATGAAATTTAAAGGTGCACTTACCATGCAGAGTCCTGGAAGAGGAGCAGTATTCTTCGGATTCCTGTTGTGAGAGCAGAATTGTTCCTGAGTGCGGCAACCGCTGAGCCCAGAGCAGGGGGAGCCAGACAAATCCCAGATGTCACCACCAATCCCCGTGGAGCCATCCCTGCTGCAGATGCTGGCCCCAGCACCTCACCTGTTGAGTCCATGCCATGCTCAACTCCCACCTTCCAGCCCAGCCCAGTCAGCTGCAGTGTCACTCCCATCCTTAAGTTCCCTTACAGCCATACCTGAAGGAGCGGAGCATGCCCAGGAGCACCTGAAGTCACTGACCACTCCTGCCCCCCACATGTCTTACAGCTGCAGGTGCCTCTGCTCTTCTGTACTGTTTCCTTTCCTTATCTTCTCTCATCCCTTCTTCCCTCCTCCCAGATCTCTCTCTCCCTCACCCATCTATCACCCCCTTCTTTCCTAATAGTCTTTCTTTGCTGCATTCCCGGTCTTGTATCTCTCCATTCCCCTGTGGTGCTTTTTCCTAACTGTGAAGCAGACAAAGAGGAAATGGGAACTCCATTTAGAGTCTCTTCTGGGCAAGTGTTCTTTGATGGAGCAGAATGTAATACTTGTCACTGATTGTCCCTCAGCTTTAGAGTCAGTTCATGTAGCCATGTTGGAGAGGCCTGTGACTGAATAAATGTGGCTGAATGAGACTGAATTTCCCTTATCCCAGAAAAAGGTGCTCACTTCCTCTGAGGATGGAGGAGTGACTGAATGAGCAAGACAAGTGTATTTTTTTTTTTTTTACTTCAAAAAGAGAATAGTCCTTCCATTGGGTGAAGAAGCAGTGGGGGCCCCTGGAGGAGAAGTATACAGATGCCCGTGAGTGACTGAACATTATTATTGTTTATATGACAGTAGCTTCTAGAAACACTAGTAAGGATTGAGGTCCCATTGTGCTCGATGCAGTACAAATATATATAAAAAAAAGACGGTCCTTGCTCAAAGAGCTTACAAGCTATGTGGAGACTACATTAATTTCTTACACTAACATTACAGTCCCTAGTGAAAGGCTGAAATGCTTTCTTGGAACAGGTTGGGGAAATCCCTCTCTGTGTCTGGAGTGAAATGAAAGTCCCATCTCTCTGGGTGACAGAAGATTTCTCTCACTTTTCTCAGCTACGTATTTTGCTGTTGTTCATAAACTAGAAAACAAACCCAGTGTTTC